TTTGCGCGAAATTCAAAAACAAACAAACTAACCATAATTACGATTCTAAAAAATTTATGCAGTTGTTATGAAGTTCAGTCAAATCTGAAATATTTTGATTGTCTATAAATATCGATTATTTCGTTTTAAAATATATAGTTTAATTACTCTATGATATAAATAATAAATCGACAATTCAATAAGGTATATCAACAATTGTGGTCCAAATATCGCATTAAAGTAGTTGCACTTAAAGCTTATGTTTGAGAATGAGATCACTGGTGACGACAGATCGTTTGAATTGTTAAAAACTGCCTTACTAACATAAGGTAGAATACTCACATGGCGTACAAGAGGTTCTGGAATCAATCCTGTTCCAAGAGACGCAAAACTTACACAACCGCAATTTCAACTATATAATACATCTGTATGTTGTTGAAATGTGAAGAAAAAAATAACATATGCAGTTAAAATCTGAATATATCGTCTTTAGATAAGCATGAAATTGTACTTCGAAACTTTCGAGAATTGAAAAAAAAATTCAAATTGACCAATTTCTCATATAATGTTTCCTTTTTTTTGTAGAATATGTTATGTTATTTTTTATATGGGATGATCGTTTTATGAAACACAACTTTGGTAACATGAAAGTTAAAGGACAAATTACGACAAGGAATCTCGCATTATTGTTCCGATAATAAAGCTTAAGACATTGAGTGTCATATTTAACTCAAACTTTACGGTTACAGTCTTGAAGTAAAGCCAAATGCCTCTTAGAAATCTTATACCTCCTGCTTGGCCTACCACTATTACTGCACCCCCCCCCCCCCCAGTGGCACAGCGGTATGCCTGTGGACTTACAACGCTAGAATCCGGGTTTCGATACCCGTGGTGGGCAGAGCACAGATAGTCCATTGTGTAGCTTTGTGCTTAATTTCAAACAAACAAACAAAACATTTTTACTGCAATAGTTATTCTATAAAATTCCGAACACGCCGGGAGGTGAATATTTATTGTAAACATGATTTTGTTATAAATCACCAACAGTTTTGTGATAACACATTTACCTCGAATATTTTACTTGCTTCAACTAAATAAGACCGAAATATCTAATCGGGAGATGACATTTCATCGTTTTTTTTGTTGTTGTGAGAAATAACAACGGTGACGTTTTCGTTGTCCAGGTGACGTGATACTCTTCAAGCTCAAGCCCTCTTTATTATCATTCATCATTATTACCTCAGCAAAGTGAAATCCTCGACTTTAATCTAAGCACTTCAAGCTCATCTGCTCATTTCATTACGTCATTTTTGATTACGCTGGCCACGATGCTGTGGTGAAGAACTAATTGTAAGTTACCATATGTTCATTCATTATCTTTGAACCCGAATATAGAAATAGTCATCTCTCGCTCGATGTAATACATCGAAAAGGCCTTCACGTTGAATAACGTTAGTGCATGGACGATGACATAAAAATTTTTCTAGCAACGGGTAGTGAACCATGAATCTTCAGGTTCACTACCCGAGCATGAAAAATTCTTAACCACACCCACTTCACTAGATGATATTGTTGCATTACATGAGCAACTTTCTTTGACAAATAGCTTAGCACTTGTGAAAGGAAATATCGGTTACAATACTTATTGTCACTAATGTTTTGGTCTCTATTGTAGCCGAGTATCCATTACACTAACCAGTAATAACCGCGTTTTGCACTTTGATGCCATGGCAACTTGCTCGTTATGAACTCCTTTCAGCTTAACTCATGGGTTGTTGCTAGATTAACTGACTTTGTTACGTTGATTTGTGATCATCTAACTTATAAGAAGTTTGGAACGTAAGTACCACGAGTCTGAGTGTGAGTACCACGAGTCTGAGTTTTATAATTTTTATTTCATTTTCATTTGTGCATTTTCTTCATTTTCATTGCTTCTATTGCAGTTTTATTCTCCTGATGGATCAACAGTAAGTTACAGATTTATAACGCTACAATCTGGGGTTCGAGTCCTCGCGGTGGATAGAGCGCAGATACCCCATTGTGAGCTTTATGTTAAAACAAATATGCTAGCTATGGTAATTTTCTGAAGTTAACATCACAGGCATCTGATGGGATGCGTTTTGTTATTAGTTCGACCATAAGCAGCCTGTTTTCTCATCATAATCATAGTTTCAGATCTCGCCTGATGCGGGGTATTGTTTTACTTTACTCTAGTTGGTAAGTGTAGTATTGCACGAGAAAACCGTCTTTATTGTTTTCTATGATCGTAAAAGATTCTTCACTTTATATGTTTAATGTGTATGAGAACCATGGTTGTATTATTCTTCACTTTATATGTTTAATGTGTATGAGAACCATGGTTGTATTATTCTTCACTTTATATGTTTAATGTGTATGAGAACCATGGTTGTATTATCACTTTATATCTTTAATGTGTATGAGAACCATGGTTGTATTATTTATCACTTTATATGTTTAATGTGTATGAGAACCATGGTTGTATTATCACTTTATATGTTTAATGTGTATGAGAACCATGGTTGTATTATCACTTTATATGTTTAATGTGTATGAGAACCATGGTTGTATTATTCCAAATTTGTTTTATATTTTACATTTATTTTCATAGACTCATTATTATTTTGTTCAATGTGGAGTAGCCACACAGCGCCTCTGTCGGAATTCAGACAAGTCAATTATTATTATAAACATTTTATAATTTGTACATGAAACATTATGTTCCTGAGTTTTATATCACAGGATTTTTGTGGATTAGTTCCAATAGTTGAGTATAATTTCATGCGACATTCACAGAAAAGTGTGGCCTAATGGTTAGCATGCTTAAATATGGATCCGAGGGTCCATGGTTCACGTCACGTTGCCGCAAAATCGCGCTTCCCACTTTGTAATCGTGGGTGCGTTATCAAAGTGATGATTAGATTAGCTTTGCAGTGAGTGTTGTTGGCAAGTTGTCTTCTCTCCAGTCTTTCAGTTCAAAATTTGGGACGGCTAGCAGCAGACAGTCCTTGTGCAGCTTCATAGTAATATCCGAAACAAACAAAAGAAAAATCGACATGCGTTTCTATCGATATTAGCAGCGATTAATTAAGTAGCACTCTCTTCGAAGCATCGTATGACCAGTAATACGTAGCTTGTAAATTGTTCTGCAATCTGTCAGATACAGAGTAAATAAGAACGTTAGTAGTGCATGTGGTACAACTCACTAGAAAAGACACGCCATTATAAAATAATACAATATGGCTACATGCTAACTGTCTCGTGTTTTCAGAAATGACTATATGATTGATATACTCTGTCTCTGTCAGAATGATGTATAGGGGGAGCTGTAGAGAACTTCTGTGATATCAAAATAATCCCATATAACAATAATTATACTTGATAAACCAAGAAAAACAGTCGTGAATTAAAATAAAACGAATATCTTTGTCCTGAGTTCAGTTTGAAACGTTGGTATTCGGAGGAAGATGAGTATTTGACATTTGATAACGAAGTTGGATTAAGAATAATAATGGAAGATTAATAATAAAGAGAGAATATTATGAAATTAGATGTGCTATCGTGTAAGCACTAATTATGAGCAGTAGGTCAGGAGTAAGCTGAAATGACGAGACGATCAAATATGTAAAATTTGCAAGGATTAAGATAAAAAAAACCGCGTTAGATAACATGGAACTTACAAACCAAAGTACAAAGTTCATTATTATTAACGAAGTCTTTTTTTGTGTCTGCTGTTTGATATTTAAAGATAAGAGATGAATTAGTGGCAAGTTTGAGAACTAATAACACTAAAATCTAGGGTTCTATTCACCGCGGTGGATAGAGCACGGATAACTCATTGTGTAGCTTTGCGCTAAAAAAAAAACACACACACAAAAATTTAAAACTGAATTTCAAGTCCGCAAATTTTTCAATTCTAAACTCAGTGCCCACAATTCTCATGCTGCAAAGAAAATGCCTCTCGGTGGCTCAACGATACGTTTCAGGGCTTATAACACTACAACTCGGATTTCGATACCCACGGTGGGCAGAGCACAGATAAACCATTGTGTAGCTTTGTGCTAAAAAAATATATCAGCAAATAAGAATAATTTCGCCGTGACTTTCCTCAGGAAAAGTTACGTTGATGTTTCTGGTGTAAATATATTTAATTATAGAAAACCTAGGGACAAGTTTCTGATATAAGTTCTTACAAACTCTAAAGTCATATGGACATACATTTTTTGAGGAATTTTGTTATGAAAAAGGGCTCAACTCATGAACTGTTTTCACAAGGTTCTTGCATCTAGAAGCTCAGCATGGCCAGGAGGATAAGGCACTCGACTCGCAATCTGAGGGTCGCGGGTTCGAATCTCAGTCACACCAAACATGCTCGCCCTTTCAGCCGTGGGGGCATTATAATGTGACG